CATGACAGCAAGATGCATTCAACTCAAAAGGAAGGAAAGTCACAATCATTCAATGCTACGCTACGCACCAACAAACAATGCAGATCAAGAGAAGAAGGAGGAATTATACAGACAACTGCAATCAACACTCAACAAGACCTCAAACCAGTTGGCGACATCAAAATTTCAATGGGTGGGCTGACACGAACGCCAAACTGGGAGCAGACAACACAACAAGACAACTCATCATGGGTCGAGAAGCACTCGGTGAAATGAACGGGAATGGAGAACTGTTTGCAGACGTCTGCGCACTCAACCATTTGGTGATTAGAGCCAGTGTATACAAACACAAGGATATTCATTCACAGGACACAGACATGGATTTCACCAGACACCAGCACACACTACACTGAAAATCAGATCGACTTCATCTCAATCTCAAGAAAGTCGAGACGCAGCTAGCCTACTCCACACAAACTTCAGATCAACACAGGGAGTAGATGTAGGTTCACACCACTCACATCACTATCTAGTGCACGGAAACCACCCTCAAAATCAAGTTGAAAGCCTTCACACAAGTTGGTGATAGACGACCACAGTTCAAGTTCAACACTCACAACAGAAACTTAAGGACCAAACTACAACACACATCTTCACGTCAATCAGCCATAAGCACAAAATAGGAGATATTGAGCAACATCCCTGAAGGAACCCCCAAGGAAGAACGCTGAAACTCTTCGAAAGAGATGTGGAAAGAAACTTGCATAACTGTATTCGGAAGGAAGAAGAAGTAAGACAAGGAATGGTTCTCCACGGAATCATGGAAACTAATAGACGAGGGAGAGGAAGATGGTGAAGCAGAAGATGAACCAGTGCAAGGATGAACGACGAGTAGAGGAACTAAGTACAACGTATAAAACACTGGATAAAGAAGTGAAGATGAATGCACGGAAGACAAAAGACACTTCTACGACACACTGACAAGCGAAGCAGAACAGGCTGCTGGTAGGAGAGACCTGACATTATATTAAATAACCAGGTTACTACGTAGTAGGGGAGAGATCAACGTAGATGAAAGCAATGAGAGATAGTGAAGGAAAGCTAGTTACCAAAGAGGAGAAACAAAAGAAACAATGGGCTAACCACTTCAAAATACTCTTGAATCGACCACCACCACCATCTCCAACCCGTCCAGAAATACCACTTGCAGCCACAGAACTACAAGTGAACACAAACACTCCGACAAAGTCAAGGTCCTGAACTCAGTAAAGTTGCTAAGGTCCGGCAAAGCAGCAGGACCAGATGGAATCCCGCCAGAAACACTGAAAACAGACGCAGGGACAACAGTGGCTATGCTCACACCACCATTGCAGAAGTCTGGAAGGAAAGAAAGGTACCTGCCGATTGACTAGAAGAAGAACTACCTTGTCAAACTCCCAAAGAGGGGAAACCTAAGCCTTTGCAAGAACCATGCTGCTGTCCCCACCCACCCCATGCAAAATATTAAGCCACATCATCCTGGAGAGACCAAAGGATGCGCTTGATTCGAAATTACGACCGAAACAGGCTGGCTGGATTCAGAAGGGACAAATCATATGTGGATCAAATCGCAACACTACGCATCATCATAGAACAGAGCATAGAATGGCAGTCAACTCAATTCTACCTCAACTTCATCGACTTTGAAAAGACCTTCGACAGCGTAGACCGAAAATTAATTTGGCAGGCAGCTGCTTCAACACTACGGTTTTAGTGCCACAACCTTTATTAACCTCATTCAACAGATATATAACGACGCCACATGCCAAGTGATCCGCGATGGAAAGCTCAGTGACGCCTTTGAAGTGAAGACAGGAATAAGACAAGGCTGCCTACTATCACCCATGATATTCCTGATTGTGGTCGACTGCACTGGATCACGCAGCAAACAGAGAGTAGTGAGAAGAGGGGCATACACTGGCTGGACAGATGAAAAGACCCTAGAAGAAGATTTGGATTTCGCCGATGATGATTTATGTCTAATGTCTTGTAGCACAAACTCGAAGATCTACAGGAGAAAACCAACAAGTTGACAGAAGAGGCAGAGCAGCGAAGACGGGACTTCAAGTGAATATAGAGAAGACAGAGGTGATGAAGATACCCAACCAACACCAACAACAACAACAAGCTCCAATCACCATCAATGCGAGAAACTTAAAGGAAGTAGCCTCTTTCACCTACCTGACCAAGTAGTTTCGTTTCAACTACAGGCGGCGGCACAGATGAGAATGTCAAAACCAGGATCGGAAAAGCAAGACAGGCCTTCATTAATCTGAAATTAGCGTAAAGATCTACTGCACTCAGTGCAAAGTGCGAACAAGATCTGGATTCTTAACACCAATGTCAAGTCAGTGCTGCTATATGCTTCAGAAACTTGGGGCGTTACGAAAAGCATTTCCAACAAACTACAGACATTCATCAAAAGCTGCCGTCTACGCTCAATCGATACTGAAGATCAGATGGCCAGAAATAATAAGCAACAAGGAACTCTGGGAACGAACCAACCAAGAACTTATCACCCAACAAATATGTAGAAGAAAGTTGAGGTAAATTGGGCATAACACTGAGAGGGCCGACTGGGGACTGAGTGGAATTCATAGGGGAAACGACGAGTTGGGCGTCCGAGGCGAGGATGACATGGAGGAGATCATGTGAGGAAGAAATGAAAGCTTGTGGTAAGTTGTAGTGCCAGGTTGAAAAGACTGCAGAGTACAGAGTGCAATAGAGGCGTGCTACTGAAGCCCTATGTTTCACTACATACCCAAGGGGAAAATAATAATAATAATCATATTTCCTCCGTAAATACGTGCTCCTTGTTCTCATTTTCTAATCAATCACACACAGGTTTCAGTCGCCCGTTTCCCACGACCAGTAAGGTACAGACATACCCATGCCTGTACCAACGCATGATCAGAGTACAAACAGGCACTCCAGAAAGAGCGGCAATGACCCAGCGATCCTCTCCGACGGTGGCCTATAGCAACATGATCTATCTGAGACTATCGTCAGTTTGATTTCGACGAACGCCATGTGAGAGACAGTCTCTCTATATGCTTGAATTTAGGGTCAATGAGAAGCAAATGGCTGTGAGAACAAAATCGCAACAGATGATAACCATTGTCCGTTCGTTGGCGTGAAATTCCGTAGATATCCAAAAGGTTTTTTTCCAACCAGCTCAGCTTTTCTACTCGAGTGTTAAAATCACCTGCTATTATGACTATACTCAAAATTCTCATTTTCTGTAGCAAAAATTGGCAGGTTTTGATAGGATTCATCCTTCGCACCACCCGATCTTAAGTCGCTGAGCGCGTAAGCGGAGATTGCGAATAGGTATTGGCTAGTCTCACGATCCTTCCTAGTTCTTAAGTATCAGTCCAGTCGAATAGCACACAAACGGTTGTTGACTGGTATCCAACTGAGAAAAGAGCTGTCTGCTCTACAAACTAATGCTGTCTACACCAATGAGTTCAAAAGAATTAGTCGTCGAATCTCTGAATTCCCGTAAAGGTCAAGTTATTAACCACGCATTCATCCTGTATATGCTTCTTGGAAACGCATCACGCACTCATGGCTAGAGATTCTAGAGTTGTGGCAAGCAATATCTGCTTCCCGATTCGGCACAGGGCTTGGACTTTGAGAGAGCTTCAGTATGAAATCGATAACGGGGACACTATGAATGATGTTTCATTGGCTTGGATCGTTGGCAATGGCAAATAAGCCTATAGTGGATATCTTCAAGCATTAAGGACTTTGAAAGTCCGAAGTGACAACTTATATCAAAACCCGATTACAACAGATCTAACGCCGCTAACGCATGTATCTTTGTACGCTGACTTTTCATCACAATCGACATCACTAATTTCATACCTTCAGTTTCTCGTCTGACTGATTCTTTGTCATTGTGATCACGGTCAGTTTGAAAACTCACCATAATGAACGGTTGGATCTGCCGACATTCATCGACTGACTAAGACACAGAATGCTCATGCCTAGTCACCGTCTAACCCCTCATGCAATCTTAACTGAAGTAGGTTCAGGCTAGGAAAAAGTAAGTGGTGGTCAGACTAAAGCATGGCATCAGTCTATGAAATCTCTGACTCTCGGTCTCAGTCGTGTAGGGAAATGTAGACTTCATGGTCGGAGAATCTAGATGGTATGGTTAACAACCAATCTCAATGGCGCAGACGTGTCGACACATTACCTTCATCTTAACTGTCAGACCAAATCCCATTATTGTTCCCTTCCTTCCTGTTCCCTCTTCCCAGCTTCCAACCGCTTTGACTAATTTCTTCCTTATTTACTCTATCTTTCATCCAAGTGCATTCTACCGTGCCCCCGAATGCCATGTGATGCTTTCACAGCCTTTGCCAGAGAAATCCTATTCACAGCTATTCAACTTTGAGTATGCCTTAGTATCGAAACTAGTAGAAGTCATGCTTTAGCTTCCTTTTATCTTCTACTGCTGAAAAGTAATGAATGTTTCGTTTTGGATGTATTTTACTGGATTGCCCTTCTGGTCATTGTGTTCTTATTGTTTTTCTTTCTATCCACTTCCCTTCGCTTTATGTCTTCGAAATAGCGTTACATTATTTTGCGTGGCGCATTCCTTGGTGCCCGTGCAGTGCCATGGTCTATGTTGTAATAATAATAAAATAATATCGTGATAAGGTGTGGCAACTTTGACCGCTAAGCAGCGATGTCAGTTCTCACTTTGATGATGATCGACTGTTTACCATTTGATGAAAACCTTTCAGGAATTATTTTCCTGAAAGTATATCAGGAAAAAACGATAATGAGAATGGTACTCCCCTAATGTCCTACGTAAACATGACTTAAAGAGAAACAATGTAAAGAGCCATTCAAAGCACAGAAGCTATGCTTTAAGTGAAATAATCAAGCGTGACCGTTCAACAAGCAGAATAATTATAATTCAACGTAGAAAGAAGTTTCGACACGAAAAGTAATCAAACGCGATAACTTACTTCAAGAGCATTTGCGTCTATCATTTGAATCCTTTGATCGCATGGTAAAATTGTTGTTTTGAGCAAAACTGGAGGCAAAGGAAGGGGTGGAGGAGGTAATGGAGGAGGTCTACTTTCAATACATCCATTAGAAGGCCACTTTATGAAACGAACAGCATTGGATGAATGTAAGGAGGAAATACTTTTTCCCTGAAATGGCGATAATTCATAGGAACGATCGAGAGTAGACCAATTATGCACAGCAGGAGCCCAAGAACGACCGTAAGACATAGTATTCAAAGGGTTAGAAGTTACACTGCCACAGCTACCACGTCTACGCGAATGAACATTCTTATAGGAACCAATTTCTGGCATATATGATGTCCTCAAGTCAGAAAGTGAAGCCGCAAGATGCAACAAAGAACAGGTAGAATTACTTCGGAGATCCTGAAGAGTTGTCACTTCCTAAAACATCAAAATAAATGAGCAGGTAGGGGATTCATTTGTAAGAACACAATGGTCAGTTGGATAATTTTTTTTGAAATCAAAGCCTTAACAAAATATATATACAAGGGACTAGTGGACTAGTGGATCATTGGATAACGACTAATATCATGTCTGTTTTTGAGTACGAAACGAAATCTCTTTGATTGCAGTTGATACCTAGACGTAATAGTCAGGTGTACTAAAACTAACTCATGGGAAATAATATTGGCGGGAACACTTGTAAGTTTATGCTGAACTGCACTAGAAATTTGCTTGTTTAGGAAGGAATTAGCTAAGCAGATATAAGAGACAAAGCAATGATACTTATTACGAATTAACGTATCATTATCCCTTCTCAATTTCAAAGAAAGTTTGGGGACAAACATTAACGTCCCATTCAGGTCTCAACTGGATGCTGAATATCAGAAGTGTGACTGTGGGCCAGTTGAACTGTACTTCAAAATGCCCGCCCCCAACGTTTCAGCTCCCTATCCTCATAGACTGTCAGGGACGCGTCCTTTTCGGTGACGGTCTTACTAACTATCATCCTTTCCTCGGTAGTATCCTTCATAGGACAAGATAATGGCTGAATATAACCTAATGCTGATGTCTCTTCTATCTGTTTCACTTTCGTCACCCACCACTGTTGACAGTCATTGAGAAGGCTCTTGGTCAATTTTTTCACGTTACTGTCGCTTTTCATTGTGATCAGAAATAAATCCAAACGCATCAAATTAGTCCGGGTGAGGTTGCAGAAATCTACTGTCTTTCTTCACATTTGTATGTAGGTTGTTTCTACCGCAGACTGAATATTACGCCTGCCTTTATAAAGAAGAGAATTAAAGTTATTATCTGTTTACCGAAATCAAGGATGACAGATGGAGTTCATATTCACGTCAATAGTTAGTGATCAATCGTTCAAATCACAGTGCCACAGCTGCATCCATTGTCATCTGATTAAATTGCTCCTGAATAGTTTCTCATTGTACTCACTCTTTCAATTCTCTAATATTTAGATTAGTGAATACACTCAAATTCACTTGATCAGATTTATGCTCATTACAGAATGTAACAAATATATGAAAATGGTTGGCTTTCAAAACAATTTGGTGATTTGTAACGCTTTGAAATCTCTTAACTTCAGAAAGCATTGAAAAGTGCGTTTGTGTCCATTTAGAGTAAACACCTTTAAGGAACTTGGGGGGGGGGGGGGGGGGAATTACGTATTTACTGCAATAAAGAGGTAAAAATTAACAGGATTTCACTATGACTTACGTTAGGGTTAAGTAACTTCTGCAAATTGTTTCCACAATATCTAATTAGTTTATCTACAACATGTCTTGATTCAGGTTTGCGTAACATGTTATTCAAAAACTTTCTGACTTTGGCTTCTCTCCCATTTTCAAGATAATGAGATATTTTTGCAGCCAATGCCGAAATTTTTTTACTTTGATTTAGAACACAATCATATTCTTGTGTACGATCATCTGTCTGAATGTCATACTTTTGAAAATGATTTTCGACATTATAAACATTCATGTCTGTAGGATCATTTACAGAGAGAGTTGAAGAAGATTCCGACACATGTTGGGCAATACAAGAACCTTTCGATAACTGAAGAGGATTATACACACGAGATGTTTTATTGACTGGTTTGCAATTATGACGCAATGTGCTTTTAGGCGGATTTGTTTCCAAATTTTGGATTCCTGATGACAGCCGTGGAGTACGTCTACTGACTTTGTTCTAAAGAAGTTTATAACAGAAAAAAGTAACAACGTTTGGTAATGAACAAGATGTAGGATTATTTTATTAAAAAGATATCTTTGCAGTCTTTTGACCAACCAATAGGCAAAGGTAATACAATGAATCAATGCAACGATTATCTAGTAACATGATAGCGAATCGAAACAGCGGCATTACCACTGAATCAGTCGAAGGTATCAATAAGTTGGTTGTGATTGGAAGGAAATCACCTAAACAGGAAAACTGCTTTTTCTATGCAGTAAAAATAAGTCATTGAGTGTTTTAATAAAATGAAACTTTTAAATTGTGTGCATTGCATCCAAAGACAGACAAAATTTGAAAAGCATAGTTGAATTTTACAGAATATCCTTCCTTATTTAATCTGGTTCTTCATTATCTTTGAAACGGTCGTATTTAAACTCCACACACACACATACACACTGAGCATAATGTATACTAGACAAAACAATACCATAATAATCATATTAATTATAACAATAATAATATCAGGACAAAAACAGGCAAACAAAATGTAGTGATAATAACTAAACATGCTGTCAGTTATGCTACCAATTCCTGCATTAATGGTAAAAAGTTATGCAACAGATAGAGCATCTAGTTCTAGTTAGGTAAACAAGTTAACAGTAAACTAAATAACATCCTTTTAAGGGATGGTCATGTTTATGTGGATGAAAATGAAGCTTAATGACACTTGATAACGTCACATCAGAAAAAGCTAAATTCATTCGTTGGGCATTATTAGGACGTTTTGAGTATATTACAACTAGTTGATTGAGGAAACATTCATAGTCAAATTAATTTTATTATACATTAGGTGAACCATAAAATTCAACATTAAAGTTTAACAACAGTATTTATATCAATCGGTTTTCGCAACTTACAGTATCCCTGCTAGAAGACACATTCTCAGAAGATGGGGAACTTGACGATAAGTCGGATGATCGAGTAGGTGGAAGCATATTCACATAAGGTGGCGAAAATGACTGATACGACGAACTTCCAGATATTTTCGAAGTGTTTTTACCATTATTATCAAGTCCTGAATTTAATCGCTGACAAACATCCGCAACACTACTTCTTAAATTTGAGCTTCGTGATCCTGAATTGCGATTGCTGTGAGATTGAAGAGAAGCTGAATCACGTAAAGAACATTCGGACGAATGATCAACTGCAAGACCAGGGAGAGGTACTCTTAAATGATCGACTTTGTAAGAACGAGGAGTTATCACAGAAGTATCACCTGGACAGACAGATGACCATGCTGAGGATTGAAGTGATGATAAACTAGTTTCGTAAGACATTACTTCCTCATCCGCACATCGTAAGGCGTGTACATGAGGAAATAACTGTTTGTTTTGGCGGGAAACATCGTTCATAATACTGTTTTGCGCATGAGGTTTTATTTGCTTTTGGCACAATGGAGGTTGTTCATGTTTACAATGATGACTGACAATCTTGTCATATTCACTATTAATATCTGAAACAGAGTCGTCAGAATTATCTGAAGTATCTTGATTTCCGACAAAACAATCGGTATGTAAGTGATCACTTTTCATTTTCATTTGTTTACCTTTCTCACTTCTTTGTTTCCGATGTTCACTGGTATTGTTAACACGTACGTAGGAACGTAAATAAATATCTTGAATATCGCTTACGGAGAGTGATTCAGAACTCATTTTCTTTTTATCTGACTTATCACAAGGTTGTAAAAAGTTCGATGACAGTCTCGGATTATCCATTTGTTACCACTAACCTGTGCGTTGTTTGCAGAAAGTCTTGAATTATTCATAACACATCCTTTTTTTACTTGTATTAACCTGGCGAACGACCTTCGAATTATTCAGACTATTTTGAGAATTAGGTAACAAATCTGACAATCGATGGTTGGGTGAGACTGAAAAAAAGCGACCAATCACAGATTTCGTTGGTGAATGAAGCTGTGAGTCATCATTGTGTGCATTTGTGGTGCTTAAGGCGAGCTTATCTGGTACAGTAGATTCACATTTATTTTGGTGATAAATACCATATGTGTGCATTCTACCTGTGGACGTAAAACAAAATGTGTCACTACATAAATAATGCGATTGGATACCGCCATGATTACAGGTGTTAACTCGGTTACACACACTATTGTCCGTAGGTGAGGAAAGTGAAGTAGGAAAAAGATTATCAGATGTTGAGTCGAGTCGTTTGGATCTATACTTAGAGGAGATTTTCTGATGTTTGCTACAGAAGCTGCGTCGTTTTGAGTCTTCGCAAGGAAATTCATAAGGAAAACTGTGGATGTCATCCTTTCTACATTGTTCAGACAACCACTTTACATCTGTCAAACTCCCGATATTGATGCTAGACTTGGGACAACTCAAGTTATCACCAGAGACAACATACTCATTGGAACATTCAGTGTTTGATGAACTGGAACTCCCTCCATACTCTTCTGAAGATAAATGAACGGTTTCTGGAGCTAAAGGATAGTAATTAATTTTACTGATAAGCGAAGTAGGTTTGACCGTAACTGTCCCATATAATGAAGATCCTGTAGAAACACATTCAGAATGAGATGTAGGATGATTTGAATAAGCAAAAGAAACATATTCAGGACTTGGGAGCTGATCAGTTGTATCGAGTTGGTCACATGCAACAGTGGAGCCAGTGCTTAGCAGAGATTGCTTTAGATAACCTTCATGAGTTTTACTTACAGATCCATGAAGTTTATCTGATTCAAAAAAGAAAGGTAACCAATATCAGGTGTACTGAGAGAAAGTGAAGGACCATAATAAGGTTCAGTCGTATTCAAAACACTGCACCCTGAAGTGGAGGTAGGTTCTGTACATGCGCTTCGCTTATCTGCATTCAAAGAAATACAAGTGGAAACTACAGTCTGATAGTGAGAGCTTTCCGGATTCGACAAACCCAAAAAAGATTGGCGCAACTCATTCAATCTGCGCCTGTGCAAAGCAGCTTCACTAGCAGCACTACTAATTTTCTCACTTGATCCGCGATGCTGGTGAATTCGGTTTCCCAGGTCCGAAGAGTCTCTGGATTTTGAAGGGTAAACTGGTGGTAGTAGTGATAATGGCATCTGATAAATATCTCATCAAATCAGTCCATATTATTCAAAACCCTGAAAAATATATACATACAGCGTACTTTATAACGCAAATACATTCATTAAAAACTAATAGACTGAAAGTAGCTGAAAATGGTAAAAAAAAAACAATAATCGGTTGTAATTGTCATACTTTCCGTAGCATCGGGAAAACTAGTGCTTAAGGATTACTACTGATTAGAAAAAACACATATGACATTTAGTTAGAAACCCTTAACAGATTTTAACCAATAGAGAGTGACAAACAAGTTATCCTTTCTAAATAACCTCCCAGCTGACGCTAGCATTTTATCATACCATGCTCAAGGAAGTTGGGTTAGGTTAGAAGACGGTTCAGGGTGTTCAGACCAAGATCTGGCATCAATAAATGAAGTCTTTGACTGTTGGTCTGAGTCGTGTGAGGTGATGTACACTACTTGGTTGGGGTCCCCGAAACGAAAAGAATCAGTGGTTGATGACTGTGTGACATGGTTGGAAATCAGTCACAACAACGCAATGTATTCACTCTCTGATATCTTTTACGGATTGAATGTTTGCACTATCCATTATCTTCAGATTGTTTATTCTCTCATACAACTTTGATTTACTATTTTTCCATCTATTTGTTCTTTGTATACTACTGTGGAGTGTGGTGACTCGAGGAGATGCATTTGGGTGCGAGGTTTCACATTGATTCTGTCTGTCTAACATTTTATCAACATTTAAAAAACAATTTTAGTTAGCATTTCCCTAAACAGAATAAACCACACCAGTGGTGTACAGAAAATAGATAAAAACTATGGAGAAACATATTTAGTTTCACTTAAAAATGTACCATGCGGAGATGGAGGTGTAAATATTGAAAAATAAATAAATAAATGGAAATTCTTGTCAAAAGAAAAAAGATCAACAGATCATCGCAGAACCTTGCATGTAAGTACATCACTTCAAGTTGCCACGTTTCACAACACTACACAAACAGCAGAAAGAAAGAAATAACACAATAGTATATTTTTAATAAGGTATAAAGATAGATAGAATAAACTCGAGTTTATACGATGTTCCTAATTTTAATGATAATAGAAAAGCTATTGAATAGGTACCGTTGTAATTGTTTTTGAGCCGTCACAGAGTCTCTAAACATTGATTCCAAAGATCTCAGAGACCGGATGTAGGCATTCTGGAGCGTCAAACCAAGAGCCAATGCCTGAGTGAAATGATAACACTCTTTGGTTACTCTTTAGTCACCGTCAGATTTCTTTCAGTCTAGTGTGTATTTAACTAACACCACGTCGAGGTTGACATTAAGTTACTATGCTTAACGCATGCCCGATCCACATCAATCAGTGAAGGTTTGCGACCTCATCGACTAATTTGTCGCCCACATCTATTTTTCCTCTTTCTCCAACCCTATGCTCAAAACCTTGAAAATCCCCTTTACTTCTTGCACCTTCAACGACCATGTTTCACAGCTCAACAGTGAAACAGAGCACACAGCTTTTCAGCTCACCCAACCCTTAATAAGTAGCTGGGAACTTTGCCATCAGAAAAAACTAGCAAATCGAAAACAGGTCCTTTTTCTCCTTAAAATGACAGTAACAAGCGGATAGGAAACCGGAGTAGCTTAATATAAAACACCGAGGTAAACAAAATGTGTTTTTCCTCCGAGAGTTAACTTTAGTTCGTCACTTGATAAATGATGCATCTCTTTAGGTGCATGGCCTCCCTAAGAAACATGATTAAGAGATCCATCAAGGAAAAGCTTAACATATCGTCAAGATGCAGCATACAAATGACAAGTTCAAAGCGGCCTGCGATGCGTAACTTCGGATTTCAATAAACAACCATACTTTATGAATTTCACCTGCTGAAACCAAATTAATAGTTTGACAGCACAGCGAGCAGTACATTGATGTCAAAACGACCATAAGGGAAATACTAGCGAAGATCATTTTCGCAGTTTCACCCAGGGGATGATTATTACACCTACTCGTGTTCGAAAATAGGATAGTGTCAGACGTATCAAAGGTATTTCAAGGTTGTCTTATTACCTATTTCAGTAAGTGCAGTCTTCCGTATTCTTGCACTATTTGTATAAGTAATCAGTTAACAAATAGAAAAAGCCAGCAAAGTTGTTCAGAAATTATGACGCCTCTAGACTTTGATTGTGATTTTCACTTAGAAGTTCGGGGATGCTGATTAATACAGCTGCCTACATCCTCATAGTTCTATCAGAAACTGAATACTTCACACTTTCTTCAAGTGAATATGACCATTACTGACGACATGACTGAGTCATTGAAGCAGATGAGACCTTAGCCGAAACGCACATCGAAAAATATCAGTGCCAATCTTCAAACATGTGTCATTGAAGAGGCATAAAGGACTAAACAAATAGATATCCTCAACTCAAATCGAACATGCCTCAGAGCTGCAGATTAAAAGTTCATGCAACGAAAGTCTACAAGCCCACAACTTTTGACAGCAGTGAATATTACATAAGTAACTGATTATAAGTTCAAATACCAATAACCACCATACAACGGCTTCCACGTGATCAGTAAAGGATAAGATACTCACCTCGATTTATTACATACAGAACATCTTTATCCATTCAAAAAAAATAACGCTCAGAAAAACAAATATTCAACAGAAAAAGTAGAAGAAACTACAGTTCATACATGCATGCACAAAATGTAAGTGGTAGACACATTAAAATAATAAACTACTGGTCACAGCAAAAAGTAACCAAAATTTCATATTAGTTTTTCTACAGGTTGTATCACATATTGGAACAATATTATTTTCCAGATAATGAATACTGAACAGTTAATTTACTCCTAAAAATTTTATGATCATTGTTATTGATTTCACCATGTGGTAAATCTAAAAAACAAAAATGGAATTAGAATCCACCGGTGTCCAAGTTTCATTCTTATAATGACAGTCTAGAAGTCCGTTACTAAGGGGAGGATTTGTGAATTCTGTTTTAATTAGAAGTAGTGGTGGTAGGAATATCATGACTATTACAGAGAATGAAAAGGATATAACTTTCACTGAATGAAAGTGACTGACCTACTGATGCATAGCTAAGCAACACCTCACAATACTGAAGAAAGCACAGAGCGTAAGCTCACGTGTGAAAACGAACAGTGATGTCAAAAGTCGAATGTTTTTAATTGTAACACCCTCTGTTATCAGATACAGCTCTCGGTCAACATAACCATAGTGAGTCGAATGAAAGTACAATCTACCTGCCTCAGAATTCTACGATACTGTATGAGCAATACAGTGAATCCAGTGGGGGATCGTTGAACACCAATCACTGTAGACGAATGATCACTAATCAACCAATCCAACTTTATCTGAATTAAAAGATTGTGAAATATGAGAACTTTAGCTCACTGAAAGGTGAACTTATTAGGAGACTGAATACCATTCAAAAACAGATTGACATAAGAATAGGCGATTAAAAAGGATCACTAAGAGTTCTAGCATAGCAAAGAGTTCGAAAGTTATCCAGTCACCGCTGTGAAGACATGTTGATGGTAGTGACAGAAAATCACCTACTTGCATAAGATTCTTTTACTCACCGCGAGTCATAAACTGCAGTCAAGGTGTTTCTATGAGCTGAGAGAAACCCAGAGTTTATGAGACAATTATTGCTTAAATTCTAAGAGGTTTATTCACCAGCACCACGGTAATAAATAGATTGTCGGGCAGGATGCAACAGAAAGTTCAGTGCTATAAGCATGTTTATCCTCAAGAGTATAAACACATGTAGAAATCAAAGGGGAGAAAATTTGCTACTACTTCCAATCAACTTCAGATTGATATCGGTTTATACACTAGACTATGAGTTATGCCTAATATGTGAGGATTGATATATTATACCAAATTTTCCGAAAGTGGAAAGTTGAGATGTTTTCCAAGTTCATGATCTACTGGTCAAAGGTACAGCACTTAAACCAAGAAGTTACAAAATGGGTGAAGTACTACAAATAGTGGTTTTGACACTATGGAGTGGTGATAAATAATGATTGACTGGAAGGCTGAAAATTGATACGTCATGGCCTGATCACAAAGTGACATGTACTCATGAAATAGGATTATTGATTAAATGCACTCAATTTATTTAAAAAACAGGTAATAAAAGACAATCACAAAATATCAAGCCTTTTTGAAACCAAATTGTGGATAAATCTCTTTTTGATAGTGTTGTGTTCTCTGAGCTGGATGATTTAATCGTGGAGTTATCGTTATCATTCTAGACAACATCATCAGCACAAACCAGAAAGAAGTGAGCTATAAGGTATGGATAAAGAAGACTACGTCGAAAAGGCGGACGACTTACTCATGGGTCAAAATGTGTACCAGCCAATTGAGACAAATCCCATTCATAAGTTTGCGTCTCACACCACGAGGACCTTGAACAAACTCGGCAAAGCAGGAGAAATTACAAAACAAAAGAAATGGCGAGTAAAATTCAATGGACTTGTTCGCCCACCTTTTTATGGTCGACCAAAAATACACAAACCAAACATCCCACTACGACCAACTGTTTGACTTTCAGAAACCCTAACGTACAATGTTTCAAAAGAACTCCAGAAACTAAAACATGTGACAGAGTCATGAGACCACTCTATCAACTCTTCGACACAATCTTTGGAGAAGATCAAGCATATTCATATTGACAACGATGAACTGATGGCGTTTTTCGACGTTACAGTTCTAAACACCTCGAATGAACCGAAACTGGCTACGGATACAATGACTCTTCTCCTTAACACTGATACATACCTCTCGGGACACACACAAGTGCAGTGTTCAAGTTTGATGGAATTAATAAACTTATGCTATGCAACATATTTTCAATTCAACGGCAAACTCTAAAAACAGACAAAGGGAACACCGATGGGATAGTCTATAACAGGACTAATTGCAGAAGAAGTAGTGAAGAGATTGGAAACTGTGGTATTACCGTTGATCAAACCAAAACTTTGGGTGCGATATGCAGATGACACGTCTCTCATCATGAATAGAAACCAAAGGAAAAGCACTTACAAACTTATCAACAACG